AAGGCGGGGGAGATAATATCTTTAATGGGACCAGCTTATGTTGGTGAAAGAGAGAGATTTCAAACTTCTTGGATTCTCTTTTTCAAAACAGAATTTGGTCCAATTAAAGATACCCTCTCACCTTGTGTGCCTCATACTCTGGGCCCAACACAACTACAAACACATCATATAGACTCAGTTCTGCATTGTGGTATCTGTAATATCAAATATACTTTTCATTTATTTATTTTTGCTCCTGTGAGGGTGGGGGATGATTACATCTGGGAACCTGTGAGCAGAAATATTGGTTTATAATTTATTTTTACAAGGGAGGGGGGAAGCAGTATGGCTATTTACCAGAGGAAGAGTTTATTAGCTCAGGCTGCATCTTAGCCCTTGCAAATCTGTTTCTCCACATTTGGTAGTAAGGATTTATCACACATTTAAATGAGAAGGACTGTTAATAGGGCTTCCACCTAGAAGCTCTGCGCTAATTCACATAGGACTTCCCTGTGGACAAGGTGAGGTCAGTAGAGTTGGGACCTTCACTCTGAATTTCTCTTGTGGATACAAGCTCAGCCCCGTGCCAAGGGGATTCTGTGCGACAGTGGAGCCTATTTTCGGTCCTCCCTTGGGTCATGTATCCAGGCAGAGTTCCTCTGGGCAGCATCCACTGGCTCCATCAACAGCTTTGAGGAGCAGTGGGCGCTGTCTCTGGGGTTCTCTGCTTGGTGCCCGGTTCCCTTGTTTTACACCTGTGCCCCTACACCTTGATCCCTTTTGTCGTTCGTTATTTGTCCCCAGAAATCAGTTGGACCTAGCATCTTAGTCGTCCCTCCTGCAGGGCTGGGGGAGGGACTTTGAGAAGTAGGTGGGCTGCCCCCACCCACTCCTCCCATGGTTTCCAAATAGTGCCCCATGCCATGTCCTATTTTATTTAAAACCGCTGCCTGGAGGCCAGTCAGGTGTGTACAGGAAAGAGGCTGGCTCCAGCGGGGAGGTGCAGCTCTGTAAATGTGAGTCTTGAGTCCAGCTGTAGTCTGGTGAGGGCAGGGCCTGACTAAAGGGGGGGGGGCTAGCTGGTCAGTTGCCTGGGGCGCCAACCTATGGGGGGCGCCTGATTGAAGTGGTCAGGGCACTGGGCTCCCGCGGACAGGGCCACGGATAGGGCACGCGGTGCCCCTGACCACTTCAATCAGGCGCCCCCCATAGGTTGGCCTGCGGGGGTGCTCATGCACTGTGCACCCAGGGGTGGGGTGCCCCTTAGCATATCAATCATGCGCCCTCTGCCCAGAGGGTGCAAGTATGGCTGGATCAGGCCCTGGGTGTGGGCTGGGGGCTGGCTCCCAAGGGATCTTTGCTCCCTCGCCTCCCCTCTAAGGCCGGGGGGAGCGCTCCCTCTTCTGCTGCCCCCTCTGCCGGCAGGGAGCGGCCCCTGCGTCCCCTGCCAGGCTCGCTCCCTCGGCCCGCCCGCCGGTCCCACTCCATTTACATTTCCAGACATCTCTGTCTGGGGGAAGATGTAATTTCTCTGTCAGAAACTATAACTTCCTCACGCTTCAAGTGCCAGCCGCGGCAGTAAGAGGTTGTCAAAAACGCTCACTGGAGGAAGCAAACAAGAGGAAGGAGCAAAAAGGATTAGAAAGATATCATTTAATACTGTCACCCCACTGCGGCGCGGGGCGGGGGGG